AGGGAAAGCTAATACGTTATTCTTCACTCCTCGAATTAAGGTTCAACAGCAAGCTTAATGAGTAGTCATTATAAAATCAGGCTGCTAAGTAGTACCTTAACTCACAATTCTGCTTATATAATTGCATCACTATTGCAGATAACAATTACTATTGATATATCAAAGTTACATCTCAAACAGGGTAGTGCAAAAGAGTTATCTCAGGATTACATTATTAACCATTAGTGGGGCTTAGAGGCCATAAAACAGGTTAGCGCACTAATATCACTCCAAAAGCACTAGATTAAAATTTTGCTTGAAAGAGAAATTGATGTGGTAGTTTCATGCATCTCCATCACAAAACCACCACATTAATTGCAGCATCTTTTCACAATTGACCTAAGACTGGATAAATATATGGTGGAAGTGACAAGTGAGGACTGAGCACACAACACAGCTTTGTCCACCACCTCTCCACATTACATTGGACCCAACTCTAAACAATGCTGTCATCCGTAGCATAAAGTAACCTTATATTCACTCAAATAGCAATGAATAAAAATAATTAGCTGGTACATATTTATAAATGACATTTTAAAGATCATTAACATATAAAACATTATTGTCTATGAAACAGACCAGTTTCAGTGTTGCCTGCTCTCTGTTTGGTGTTTTTCTTTTTTTAAATGGGCAAGTGTTCCCCTGGACAGCTGCCAATACACTAGTATAAAGTGTCCTTAAAGCAAGACAAACTCCTCTGTACTAAATCTTTTTAATCTTTTCTTTTCATCCTCAAAGAAAAGGTCATTTTCTTCATGGAGTGGACTGGAAGCAAAGTCACAGTCTCTAGAATGACCCTTTACAAAAGTAAATAAGGGATACTTCTCCTTGGATGAAGACTGCAGCATCTATAATGCAAAACAACACACCAGACAAAACGTTAGTTGAGAGTGAAGGCGCACAGCAGCAAGTGATATCAATTTAATTACAACTGCAAAAATCAAAAATTCATTTGCCCCTATTTTGCATTGCAAAGACTCTATGTGGCTCCTTCTGTTAAATACATATTTCTGTCTCACCCTCTTCATGGAAAAAATAGCCACATTTTGAAGTTTTGCATCTGCAACTTGTTCCATAAAGACTACCCACACTTGCAGATTAATTCCCATAGCTTCGACAGAGCAAGAGCTTCTCTTGCATGGAAGAAGATAATCTTTATTTGTTGAACTGAGAAGCAGGTTAGCATCCCTTGAAAGTATTTTTGTGATCGAGACAGCTTATATAACTATCAATAATTTTGGCAGCTCAAACATACGTCAGAGAAAGAAGCCATCTCAAGAGCAGATGAATTAAAATTAGGGACATGCTAACAGGCTGCTTTAATTATGTAACAGAAATCTCCCTGCCCCAAGGAGAAGACAAAGCTGAGTTTATTTACCAAGGGAACAATTGATACTAACAGCAATCAACAACATACCGAAATAAAAATACTCTTCATTACGAGTGCTCTTGGCCCAGAGGGTAAAGGACATTTCAGCTTTTTAGGCTTGTTTCTATAAGCCATTTAAACACCACTAAAGTTAATTTTATTTTTATATTTTACTGATCATTCTCAAAAGTAAATCTCAGTACACAACTATAGTACCTGCAAAGCTACATTTAGCCTATAGATATAATCTGCATGGGAGTGATCAGACTATGAACTCCAAAAATAGTTTTAATGAGAAACAATTAATCGACACAATAAAAAGCCTAAATAGATATTTAAGCCGTATGACCTATTTAAAAAACAATCAGGTGCTGGAAAATCATGCTTGCAGTAAAATCAGAATCCACGATTTTTACTGTGCTCTGCAATTTTCCACTTTATTCTGCTCTATTTTAATTGCTTTCTCCTACTGCACTGTGAAACCTGGGGAAAAGGACAAAGAGAAAAGTGAGAGATATGCAAGCTCTGATGAGCAGAAGGGAGAGAAAAGGGAAAATAATATGTGGGGAGAAAAAAAAGTGTAGGATGAGAAACAATGGGATTGTAGATTTCATAGGACTGGATAATTGGATACAAAGCCTTTCATCAGTAGGTCACTGGTCAAATCCAGACTGAGTCAGTAGCAACAGAAATTCAGAGCCATACGATGGCTGTTTGGTAGCCTGTCAAATGGTTTGGTGGACTTAGGCCAGTTCCTAATTGACAGGTGTCTGAAACAAAAAAAAAAAAATCACCACCACCCTGTCAGGGAAGCCAACGAGGTATGGAGGGCTCTGGAATCACTGGGCCAGATCTGATCATAATTTGTACCAGAAAAATTCACGATGACACAGATACAAGACAACTTAGAGGGTGCCAATAAGATGTTTTTTCCCTAGTGTTCTTGGATTGTTAGAAGTTGCCCAATTTTCTAGAAACTTTATCCTGTATCAGAAGTATTTCAAGAGTGCAGAGTCAGCAGTATAAGAACCATTGCTTTCTTTCACCAGAAAAAGGAATCTGGCTAACTTCCAGATATTTTTGTAACAATTTCAACTACTTAGTAACTATTTTGCAAAGATGAACTACCAGGACTTTCCCAAAAGGGGTCTGGATCCATTCTGCAGAAAATATCAGAACAGAAAATATCTTCAGTGTTTTGTTTCTGAAAATTTAACCTAAAATTTGTAAACACTGATGTAGAACTGACACATTGGAAACTGAAATAATGCACATTTCAGTATTCCAACAATTAATGTATAAAGTAGTAATATTCTGCATCCATTTAAGACAATGACAAAGTTACAAGTGACTTCAAATGGCACAAGATCAAGTACCAAGAACCAGAGCTTGCATACTATTTACATCTCTAAATAAAGTGGCCAGATTTTCAGAAGGGCTCATATCCCAAGTGCAACACTTGTTTGTGACACTGGCTTTATAACATCCAGGAGAAGTTATGAATATAACATAGCAGCTACATTTAAAATACAGGGCAAGTGGTCCTGTGGTAAGTCAAAAGACTGACTGGGATTCAGGAAGCCTGTCTTCTGTGTAACCTTGAGAGAGCATCAGGTTCCCTATTATAAAATGGAGATAATGTTCCCCTACTCAACAGCAGCAATTGGTTGATAAATCCCTTTTTATCTGTAAAATGCTTAGAAGCCATGGTGCAATTGTGAGCCCAGTACAACTTAGCCGTTTGTGTTGAATCTCACTCAACTTCCACTAAAACACTCATTATTCTAGCAACCTAATTTTTTGTTGCTTCCAGACCAAATTCCAGCAAAGAATGGATTTCCTTGCAGTTCCCTACTTTTGAGCAACCAAAGTGGCTTAAAAGTAGGAATGCAGCTACCTGGGATAACAGTTACAGAACACACAAGCCAATTTGAGTGTAGCATAGGTAAGATGTTTTACTTGCCACTTCTTTTGAGACTCATAGTTTGAATGCCACAACATCCCTCTTAGAGGGGATGCTGTAAGTGCTACAACCTAAACTTTCCCTCCTGCCTCTCCCACTATTTTACATATCAAAGTAGCAAGAATCTGAATTAATTTATTAGTTTAACCCTACTGCCCTGCTTGGAAGTATATGGTGCTAATAAGGAAGGTATTACATTACCCTTAAACAGATGGAAAAAAAAATAGAAAAAGTAGTTAGAAATAAAAAAACTTTTTTCTTTCTGAAAGTTCATACACTATATTTGGGATGTGCTTACATTAGAGTCACCCTCCTTATATTAAAGAACATCAATCCAAAATGCTAGTAGAACTGTATTAAGACTTAAGGTCAGTCTGACATTAAATTTAATGCAACAAGCAAAAAACAGGTGGGGAGAGATAGTCACGTAACCTAAGATTTAACAGGGAAAACGCATGAAAAAAATTAGCAGGGAAAATTTCTAATATCACTTATTTTTTCTTTCATTTTTCTATCATGGTCTATAATTTCTGCTTAGATGGGATGACTAATTAAAAATTCTGGTATATGAAATTTCCAGGTCTCTTTTGCTTTGGAACTCATGATCTTTAAAGGTACTTTCCATTCCTCCAAGACTGGAGGATTTCTGCATTCCTCCATAAATCAAAGGAAAAAACCTTCGGCATTAACGTGGCATTAACTTTAGAATCTGATATTGCTTGTTGCTTTACTTAATACTAATACCACTTACACAACAGGTTATATTCTCAAAGTGTTGTACAAACTTTAATTCCTTGTACTAATCTGATAACTACTGTAGTACTAGAGCATTACTAATGTAATCTATCCTGTGTTACTGCTCTATCTTTTTATAGTCAGTTTTAGATCGTAAACCATTTGGTTGTGTATTATAGTTTACACAGCATATATTAGCACTGCATTCTGTTACTGGCATTTATATACGGTAATGGTCTAGAACAAAATGCCTACCAAAAAAACAAACCTACCTAATTAAACCTATACCTATGCACTTCAAGTATCACAGACATTATTAGGCTGGTTTACTGGGTGACACCTGCTCTCATTTAAAACTGCCTACAAACGCATAAAATACTGTTTTCTTCTTAAACGTTATCAGAAATAAACACTTAAAAATAAATACATAATTTTGCTTTGCTCAAATATTTCCACTTTTAAAAAATGCTCTCCCTAAGGGACTGATTGCTTTTTAAAAAATTCTTTTCAGGTAGAAGATAGTATAAAGATCTGAAAAGGTGTTGTCTGCAAAAATATTTTCATTTCAACAGTGCCACCTAGTGGAATAACCCTACATCATATCCACATAGCGGCTAATACATTGCTTTGTATCCGTCACAATCTGCCACAGAAGAAACAGTCATCTTTTAACATACAATTCAGGTAGTTAATCTTATTTTCTGCAAATTTGACATGTTCATATTTCTGGATTTAAAAATCACAGATTTGCTGAATCCTTTTGCTCTATCTATAACCATAAAAAACAGAATGGGTTCCGCTGTAGCATAGCTCAGACGGTATTTTCTCCCCCCCCGTAACGTACACAAACATATGCACAGTTTCAACTGAGGAATCAATTTCATTACTTCAACACTTACCTTAGTTATTTCTTCAGAAACCCTTTCAAAGTCTTGCACATTTCTACAATAAAATCCTATTGTACAGCTAGGATCCATTTTTTTGTATGACATCTTTTTGGGGGAAGGACAGTGGAATGACTGCAATTGTTAAAATAAAAATAATTTCAAGATCATTTTAAGATTAAGTGCATTTGCCTTTCTCCTAATGAATTAAATGCATAATTCACTATGCCACTTATGCTTCAAATCCAACGCAAGCTTTCAAACTTATTTCTGCCCCAAACGTTTAAGTTATTTCACCCCTTCCCATATTTATAAAAAACACATAACCTAGTGCTATTTATGTCCCATTTAACCAAACTTGCACATTACATCACGTTATTCCAGCCCAAAAAGAGGATGTGAAATCTGTCAAGGGTTTGCCGCTCCAAACAGCATTTTATGAATATTCCCATGGTAGAGGAGGTGAATGCTCCTTTGCAAATTGAATTTGTAACAGCTTTTGCACTATCTTACAATTACTGCTTTACTACTACCGCCCATTGTCCCCTACCCCCCCAACCTCCATAAAAGAGAAATAATGGAATGAACCAACCTAATGTATTTTCATTTAGTAAATGAAATGGGTAAAAAAACCCTGAGTATTTCAATATACCTCAAGTATAAAAACCCACTCTATATTTTACACGCAGGACTTTTTAAAATGTGAAAATTGTTTTCATGATAAATGTTGCATTGACAGCCCTGGAAACTGATGCTATGAATAGTAGGAGTACAAACTTCCACATGCTTCCTTTTCTCCCCATCCTCCCCTGTCTAGAAAGGATACTTAAAAGGTACTCCGACTTGGTTCTCCATGCCCCTTCATTCATTACACAACTCAAACATGGGTAATCATGGTGGTTTTGTGTTCATGTGGAACTGGACAAAAATCCCAATACATTTTACACATCATCCAAAATACTAAACGACGACACTGTAACTGTTACTGCACCATGCCAGTGGTGCACGGTTATTTTTGGCCAGTACATCCCCGTAGTGACACGCTACAGCGAGGGATTGAGTCACTACAGTGACATAGCTGCAGCATCACAGTTTTTGCCTGCCGAAGCAACACGCTACAGCTATGTAGCAATAAGCAATGTAGCATCTCATGTCCTATCCCCCTATCTCCTATTACTAATATCCTGTGCCCTGACTCTCCATATAATCATTATAATCCTGTTAAAACAGCTCACTATTTGCCTCTTAGCATATGTTACTACTCTATAATCCCACTGGGAACTGGGGTTGGACTATATGTATACATACACAAAGTTATTTTGACACAAGAACAACCACCTAAGAACCTATAATGCAATTTGGTAAAACTCACTAATGGAGTGGTAAAAAAGAAGAGACAAATGCAACAGTTTCTATTAAAGACATCTATGTGCTTTCTGTGATAACTCATACCTGTATAAGATCTAACCTGTCTGAAAAACAAGGCCAGGCAGCTGGCATTAAGAGGCCATGGAACACAATTTCCCAAATACAGAGCTAAATAACATTATTTTTAAGGTATTTGTCCTGACAGTAATTTTACACTACTGAAATGGAATGTTCTGTAGTCCTGATTGGTGCATTTACAAATAAAAAAGTGGTACGTGTGTCTCACATTTTATGCAAAGTCCAGCCAATTTTCTCTCTCTAGTAGACTGCAATTCCTACTTGCTGTCTAGTCATTAATCCTGCCCACATTTTATATAAATAAATTCTTTATATTCATTCCTGATTAATCACAACTGGAAGCCTGAGTCAAAGTATTCCTGCAGTAATGTTAAAAGTGGTAGGTACTGGAACATCCTAATAGCAGTTTTGCAGGCCATTCCCGAGAGTATTCTTAATGCGGTGAGTCATTCTACAACAAAGAGAAGTGGGTAGGCTTATTTTTTCACTGCTCCAAACAAATGGATTTTGGAAGCCAATACAGAGTGGATTGATTTCCAACTTATTCTGGACAATTTGTCAATTTTGAAAATACTCCCTACAGAGAAATCTAACAAGCTACTCTCCACACTAAGAAAGCAATTTCTGTTTACTTTTGACATTTCTGGACAAAGATGTAATACTATTTAATGCACTAAGCATTAAGTTCCAATACATTTTCCTGTCTACAGAAAAGCATTATGATGTGATCAAGCCCAGCCGGCAGCTTGGGTGTAATCAAATATATTTAAAGCTTACTATGATAATTACTTGGAAATTCTTATTAATACCACCATACAGTAAGTTCTGGTGGACCAGTGGCATGAGCAGGGACTAGCAGATGTGGATTCTACCCCTAGCTCAGCCACTGAGCTACTATTTGGCCTTAAAGAAGTCACTTAGTCTCTACGCCTCCATTTCCCTCCACACTTCGTGTCTGCCTATGTCGTGTAATTAAATTGTAAGACCTTCAGAGAAGGCACTGTATTCTACTATGCACTTATCTAATGATTAGCATGATAGGGTCAGGATCTTAGCTGGAGTGTCCAAATTCATTATTTATATTATACCATAATATAAATAATGAACCTGACACTTATACCAACTTCCATCTGAAAGATCTCAAACGGGTATTTATAAAATAGGGAATATTTAAGTACAGAACATTTTCCCCTTTTGATTAAAAAAAAAAGACACACTTATTTTTCAATCCAGAACATCTCATTTTCTAGCATGAACTTGAGACTCAGGCACTACACTGTACTCATTAAGGTAAACATTAAACATAAGTTTGTTATTGCTTCAAACCAGTCCCAAGTTTTAAAATTTGATTTATTCATGTTAATAAACACTTGGAAGTATCTAAACTGTTTTGCTAAACACACTCCAACGGTATTTTGATTAAGAAATTATGACTGACTTTAACAAATTCCTACTTTGAGATTAGTATGTTACCTGAACTTTATACACAATAGAAAGAGACAAGAAAATTGAACAAATTCCTGCTTTACTCTCAATTTAAGCCACATATAATCTATTATATAGCAGTGGTAGCTTTAGGGCTACAATTAAGCTGCAGACTTTGTTACAAACCATTTGATTCATGTTTTTAATTTAACTAAATTCCATCAATTATAGCACAGGTGCTGAATTCTCCAATTGTAAGATGAAGAGCTCTATTCACAATATGTGATCTTAATATTTCCCTCCTAGACTCTGATGCAAGGCTCTGCTACAAACTTTTATCACAGCATGTACTATGCTGGTGATACCACAACCACAGAATCTTCTTGGAGCCAATTATTATGAAGGAAGTAAAATGCCCATCCCTTTGCAAATATGCCATGGTTTGGTGAAGTCCTGCTTTAGGTTTGGTATGTTTAACTTAGCAAATTGCTGTAGTGTTAAGAATTGCACTCTATAGAGTCCCTCTGATCCACAGGCCTGATCCCTTCATAGTTGGTTCCCATAAGTCAAGAGGATCACGCACCTGCTAGGTTTCATGGCCAATAAAGCATTAGTTAGAGAAAGCTAGATTGTTATGTAAGGGTTGGGCATAAAAGGAACAAAAAGAAAAGGCTGAAGCTATTTCCTGAATACCTCTTAATATGAGAATCGGGAATATTCAGTACATCCTACTGAAGCTATTATAATTTTTCAGTCTGATTGTAAATAGAGTTCTTCAACATCTATCCTTGGTTTTACATTTCTTTTCAATGTATGTTGTTTGGGAAGGGGGGGAAGACAAGGGAGAAACAGTACTATAAAAACAAGTCTGATTTTCCGAGACCTAGACAGAGCCTGACAAGGTGCATTAACTATAACCAGAAGGACCAAGCATGCCACAGCTAAAAAAACAAACCACACAGCAACTACAGGTTGGTTTCAAGGTGTGTTCAGGCCTTGAAAACTACTGATCCACAGAGGTAATTTGAGTTGAAATAATAATTTAACAACCTATTAAAAGGAACAGTGTGGACAGCATTAGTAAAAGTCATTAGAATAAAAAATCTCATTATTATAGCTTTAGAAATTTGAAAGTTAAGACGCAAAATGGAATGACTCGTAAGTAGTTAAGAACAATTACACTTAAAAAGAAATGCTCCTCGTCTGTCTAGGCAAAGTAGTGAAAAATCCTCATCAAAGAGGCACAGGGTACATTTGTATCCAAGCAAGGCTAGACCCCTACATCACCTGAACAATAGGGTGTGTTCAAACACAGGCACACGCACACACACACACATACATGCTTGCTCACTCTCTCTCTGTGAGCCCAGAGGCGTAACAAGGCAGCTGGGTACCTAGGGCAGCTGCGACACGTTGGGGCAGCAGTGACTTCTCGTTGCTGCCATGCCACTGGCACAATCGTGAGGCTGCAATGGCAGCTGCTTCCCTCCCCTCAGAACAGCTGCCCCAGTCATCTTGCCCTAGTTAAACTACTGTGTGAACCGTCTTCATTCCAGCCTCAAATTTAAAAAGTAAAAATAATTCAAATATAATGTTTTTCTTTGTACTGCCTGCTTTCTTTAATGGAAACTTACTTAGTGGGGTCATCATATATTTGTAGAGGTTTTCTGGTATATAACAAGTTACAGACAAGATAAATGAAGTAATAATTATACAATAAATTAAAATTACACATCAAGTATTTAACCTTTGGCCACTTTTGTTTGATAAATAATATGCAACTGTAAAACCATAAAGATGCAGCTAGCTAGAACACCTCTAAATAATTAGTGTTTGATTCATATGGGAAAAAAACAGTGCCAGCTCTTTATCCATACTACCTCAAGAGGGAAATCCTTTATGCTGACATCTACAAAAGATTGGCAGTAATGAGGATCCATGTAAATCAAACTGTCATCTACAAGGACAAAACAGAAGACAAGTAATTCAAAAAACACCTTATTATTACACTGCTTACAATCCAATTTCTATGCAGAACAGCTGAAAAAAACCCAGCAAGTAACTGCTTGCCAGACTGATATTCATTGACTGAAGCATAGGTTTTTGCAGGACAGATTAACTTTTGCATAATCAAATATGCTTGTATAAGCAGAATTTTTATAAAGTGATGAGACTGTCATTTAATTTTTGGTGATAAAATTACTTTTACAAACACACAATTATATTCTGGAGTTTGCATATGAAAAATGTATCATGCTACTTCATCCTGACAGGAAGAACATATTGCTTGTCATCTGAGCATCAACTAGCACCACTTAAACTGGTAAAAAGTAAATATGTAAATAAGAACTGCCAGACAGTAACAGCAAAGGTTTCTCAAGTTTGGTGAAACAGATAAATTATGCCTTGTTTATGCAACAAAGGAAATTAAATGTACATTTTACAGAATCCAATTACTATATGAGGCAAATGACAAATGACTGGACTTTGGTGGATATGATGAATTAATAGGGTACTCATTTTGCTATTTTAATCATTCTCCTTCCCCCTGGTCCAATATTAACTTTCTAACTCTTAAAAGAAAAACACTAAAAAGACATATCTTATTAAAACACTAACCTTGAAATCCAGCAAAGTAATATGACTGCTTAGGCTTGCCACCAATAATACCAACACAGTATTCAAGGCTTAAAATTCCCTGCCAACAGAACATTAAATAATTCAGATTTAAAGTTTAAGAGAACGTGCATAATTAAAGTAACTTGGTGAGGCTTTACTCATCTTATTTTTTCTGACCATCACCTTTAAAAGTGAGAATTACTACTTATAGCAGCACCACTTTGTTGCCAACTTTAGCAATTTTACTGAGTCTGTGTTTTTCTGAAAGACCTCACTCCAGGAATCATGCAACTTCTATACAAGAAACTTTGTCTTTCACTTCTGAAAACAGCTTTTAATAGTGGAGAAAATTTTAAGGGCTTGAAAACCAAAACCAAGCATAAGAACCATCGGGGGGGCGTTCCTTTTAAAGATCATGCTTTTTATGTAAATGCTGTTACTTTGGGGGCCTGACTCCAGCAGGCATTCAAAAAGGATGTACCTTCAGCACTCCCAGTGTCAGAGCAAGAAAGCAAGAACTGTGATGTCATACACATTAGAGTCACCGTAGACGGCTCACACATATTTTTCTGTTTAGCAGCCCCATCCTTTCCTGTCCACCCAGATAGACTTTGACATGGCAGGGACGGCAGCCAGCTGAGGCAGCAGCAACTAAAGAGGTTACAGTTACTTCTAAGAGCAGCAGCCTTAAAAGGGAATGGGGAGAGTAGAAAGGCACATCTGTTTCTCCTCTTAATCTCCCTCTCATAGAATCATAAAAAAGTTGAGGTTGCAGAGACCTCAGGAGGTCATCTAGTCCATCCTCCTGCTCAAGGCAGGAGGGTCGCTGACAATCTCCCCCTCCATTGATGTATCAATCTGTGTCAGTTCACGCAAACTAAAAGAGGCAAACAGCAAGGCTGGGCAGAAATTCATGTGTCGTTCCTATGTAGGAAACTGGAGGAGTCAAACAAGAAAGACTCCCCCCTTTCTTGTTAGACAGCAGACAAAAAGGACTCTGAGGAGTACCTGGAACTCCTCCCCAAAAAGCTGGATCTGGGAAAAGCGTAAGTTTCATAGATTTCATAGACATTAGGGCTGGAAGGGACCTTAGAAGATTGAGTCCAGCCCCCCGCCCAAAAGGCAGGAAGTCAGCAGGGATTGTAGGATCCCAGCAAGATAAACATCCAAATTTCACCTGAAGGCATTCAAAGTAGGTGCTTGAACCACCTCCGATGGCAGGCTATTCCAGCCCTTGGGAACTCAAACAGTAAAGAAGTTCTTCCTTACGGCCAGCCTGAACTGTTCTTGGAGGAGCTTATAACCGTTCAACCTTAACATCCCTTGGGGCGCTCTGGTGAACACACGTTCCCCCAGATCCTGATGAGCACCCCTTATATACTTATAGGTGGCCATCAGATCGCCTCTGCGCCTGCACTTTTCCAGGGTGAAGAGTCCCATAGCTCTCAGCCTCTCATCATAAGGTCTGTTTTCCTGACCTTGGGAGGAGATCACAGCCAGGCAGCTCTGGACTCCCTGGGCATTGCTTTTGCTTTTTTCAGCATTTTTAAAGGAAGAAAACAGCAACGTATCTCCATTCTTCTTCATGGTTTCTATGTTGAAAGCAAATGCTGGGAGGAAGTTGCATGTAGCTCTTCCTGGGTTTCCCTTCCCTCCTTTGAGTCTTCCATTCCTGAAGGAAGGATACTTCTCCTTTTACTTCCAAAAAGTGCTCCAGATTCTTGGGAGAAAGGTGGTACAAGCTGCTGCCCAGCCCTTGCCTCTCATCCCTCTCTGTATGAAAAGAGATAGCAGTATTATTATTTCTCTCTCAGTTCTACTGAGATATGGGTAGTATGGGCGTGCTGTTCTCCAGTTACTTATGCCTATTCTACACTGCAGACTTCTGCCATCATAGCTACATTCACCTAAGGCATGAGAGGTGTGACCACTGACCAATGTAGTAGTGCTGGCTAGATTCATAGATGTTAGGGTCGGAAGGGACCTCAATAGATCATCGAGTCCGACCCCCAAACTGTGTGTACACAGTTGCGCCGGCAAAACTGTGATTTCACTGGTATTGCCTATTTCGTTCAGGAAGGGAAAAGGGTTTGCTAAACCTGTACAAAACATAGCTTTGCCATAATGGCTGGATCCACACTAAGAGCACTTTGCCAGTATAATGAATCACTGTTGATCTTCACTGATAAAACACCCCTAATATAGACACAGCCAAAGATTACTTGTTCTTTGAAGCAGCTGCAGCCCACTGACCACACCTGGCCCCTCCTCTGTAAGGATGTACAAGTCTAGGTGGACAAGGTAAGGATGTGCATGGTGGGTGCTTATCTTCCAGCAGCAAAAGAACAGAGAATATCAGTCATGTATTCCTCCAGGCCAAAAATTCTTTTCAAGATAACCACCCATCCATCCCCAAGTCTGATCCCTTACACACCACGTTTTGAAAACTGATGTCAGTGTACACATTCACGGTTGAGGAGAGGCCAACTAGGCTCAGAGATATACTTTATACATTAAAAGACAGCCATTTCAACATTGCATTAAGTAAGGGATGAAGGTAACAAATGAAAACTAGATAAAAAAGAAATTTCCTTGAGATTTAAACAGATTATTAGAAAGCTTTTTAATTGAAAAAGGATAAAACTGCTACTTCAGACAGCTTTCATGGATGTCTTGACAAATGAGTTACCTGCACTGCTCCTTTCACAGTTAATAACAGTTTGCTAAGGCAGCAATATTAATTTACAGTTAATCAGGGCTTATACCTTCACAGTAACACATAAGACTTACAATAGGGCCAATTTAAAATTAAGAGGTTCTTTTAAAAAATGTACAGTAGTAAAAATATTTTAGGTATTTGAGACAGGGAGCTAACCATGCAAGTATTGCTTAGTAATAAGAGGAATGCACATCTGGGTAGCCCTGCCCACAACCTGGGGGGCTCTGATCAATCCTATCAAAGTATGCTCCATAAAGGAAGTAGTACTACTCTCCCCTAAGAAAAGGGGGGAGGAGGGAAACCTCACTAATTCTATTCAAGTCAGAGAAAATCCCAGGGTTTTCAACTAACTAATCATATCCCAGGTATCCTATGGAACTTAAGTGGGATTTTTCACAAGCACTCAGTCCTGACACAGCATACTATCCCTTCATGTCATCCCACTGCTATAAGAGCAGCAGAATTCAACTAATGCTGAATACTTTTGATAACTCCAAACATAGTTTCTAACATGATTAGAATATGGTGCCATTAATTATTCTGATGACTGAACAACTTCATATCATGAAGGTCTTGTGGTGTAGTACTGGCTTGAGTTGGAGTCTTCATTTCTGGTCCACACTGTATGGCAAGTTAAGAAATGGCAGAAGGCAAGGCAGGTTGGCACCTTTGAAATTAACTCAGTTGGAAATGTGTAAGCTTTCATAGGCAACAACTTCCTTCATCAGATGCTATGAATGGGCTTGCAGAGTCCATTTTGTAACATCAAGAATGGGTCTCCTGTTCAACCCAAAATGACTACCACAGGAGCTACTAGAATCTGTTGGTGGCCTATTATGTCATCTTTTCTAGGGGGTTAACTACTAATGGCAAGAACATTACATGACTGTCATCTAACCACTGACAATTCTCTCCAAACAAGCCTCTGGCCTTAAAACAACAAAGTACCAGCACTTTCAAAACGATCACAATCCTAAACTAAGATGTTAATAACATGCGAGTCAACTTCAGAATCATAGTGGTTAAATGGGTAAAAGAAAAGCACCACATGCATATTTATATTCATGAGGGCTAAAAAAACCCCAAGAGGCATTTCTGATGATTTAGCATTATAAAACCTGCCTACAAATCGCAGAAAAGAGGGAAAAAACAGTTTAAGGCCATATACACTCAACCTATGCCAGTGATGCAAAAATGTAAACAAGAGTGACTTATGAAAAACATAACTTTGGTTAGCCTATCTTGGGCACACTTTCTTGTATAAAGAGATTATATTAATTCAAGTAACAACTGTCATCCACAAACATCAAATCTGTAAAAAAAAATTACTTTAAAAAAATGCAGATGTCAAAATATTTTAAATTTACACAATTGGGTCACTTCTCATGAATAACGGAGCTGGAAATAGTGACCAGTGTGTATAACTGAAGGCCGCCTTCTTTCAGCCTCAGTAATGAATATCTGCAAAAGACTGCATGTATTCTGGATATACAAGACGAAGAGCCTCAGTAAAGTCAGGCCTACATGACAAAGCTAACCAACATAGCCAACCTAGCAACTTTCACTCAAGTAGACAAAATTTATATCAGCCAAAGAAGTTCTTCTGACAGTACACACTGTGTCTGCACCAGTGACCTGGATTTGTATTGTTAGGCTGAAAAACCTTTACAGACTCTCTCCAAGACAATAGTCAACACGAATTTGTAAAAACAGTTACTTCACATGCTCAGAAACTCCTGTGCAAATAAGTGCAAGCTGCAATAGCAGCCTATGCTTGTATCCTACAAAGATACCAAGTATTGCTCTGAACTCAAGTCAGACTGATTCAAATGCTTTTCCACAGCAATGCTGTTACTGGAAGAGAGTTCATCTGCATCGGGTCTGCATGTTGCCAACTTGTTGTACGGTGTCAAAACAAAAGCTCTTCTAAAACCAACCATCTGGAAACACAAGGAAAAGAAGCAGGAAGGAAAAGCTACTTCATATTTCATTCTTTAAATAAAAGGTTTCACTGTTCTGTCCTGCTTTACTATAAAATATCTCCATAATTTTTTCTGAAACTTAGAAATAAAATGCAAGCGATAGCCAAGAGCCAGAAAAAACAGGTGATGTAACAGAAGAGCCAGTCTTTCTGATTCTGTCAGTGCTACTAAACAGCTTCTTAAACTGTTCAATCTTAAGAATTTCTAAAGCAGGGCTCCAAGGGAGTGTGCTGAGTGATGAATGATAGGGTTGTAAAGACAAAAGAGCAGGGTTAAGCAAGTTGTCCTAGTTGAGGGGAAGAACTACCCAAGAATGCTCAAGGAGTTCATCAGCATGACAAAATCCAGTATTTTTAGAGACTAATCTTTAAACATTCAGTTATAAAAAGCCTAAGTGTTTCTTAATTTGTCTGGTTAGAGCTGTGTTACTATGATTAGGCAGGCCTCCCTCCTTCTGTATCATTGCCTTTGGAAGCAGGCATCCTATCCTCCAGCTAATGAAATGACTACCGATGTCATGATAACCGCTAATAAATTATAACATGAGGGGGGAAAGTGAGAAAAGAGCTGTCACTGCAATTGGCAATCTTCAATAATTTACCACTAAAAGATTAAAAAAATTGAAAACAAATTAAGGTGTTTGATTCTACATTTTAAAAATGCAAGTTGGTATTAAAGTTCATTTAAGATGGCACAAATGGAATACTGCAGGCAACTAAATAGCTTTTTGAGTCACTGAATCGGTGTCTTTTCAGGTAGCCACTTTAGGAATAGAATAGTTACCACCACTTTATCATGGGACATCATGTGCTCTGCAATTATGTCTGATCTTGTAATAGTGAAATTTAAAACCTGTAAAGTCAGACTTTACAACCTGCAACTGTAAAATCACCACCATACAGTTAATAGACAGAAGATTACCATCCCGGAGTATCTTTTCAAATCATCTAGCACTACTGTTTAAAAAAATGATTGAACTCTCATTTCATACCTTTACAAACTCTAAGTAGTCCATGTTTGTTCTCTCTCCACCAAGTCGTACAGGAACTAATATAATTACAGCTTTTGTATCTCCAGTACTAGAGCCCATAAAAGAGCACTGCTTATCAACAACATCCGAATTGTAAACTGAAAATAAGACATATGAAAAGTATGAAAATGCTTGAGGTTTCATGAAATACCCACGCAATTTTTAAAGCAGAAATATACTATCTTTTACAAAATACTGCACGTCTGTAAGATTACATTATTTAATTAGGATGAAGTAAAACTGTACAGCTTTAAAATGTACACTCTTTTCACATAAAACACACTTCCTGAAAAACTCTTTTAAGAGCTACAGTTATGTGCGTCTTACCCTTTAAGGGGCATTTTCTAGAATGATCTGTTACACTACTGATTTTTAGTAGTTTGAATAAACTAGTTTGAAGATATAAGAAAGTTATGGAAACAGAGGAGCATTTCTTCTAAACATTTTAAGAGGATAATTTGAGCCTTAATCCCACAATTAGGCAATTTTAAAGCCTATTACTAATAAAAATATTTACATATCTTTAAAAAAATATTCAAAGACAATAATTGTTTTAAATAAGCACTCATGTGCATTGTCAGACACCAAAACAGTACTGTATTAGAATCTTAATTAAACAAAAATGCAATTAACACCATCACTGTATGCAATTCAACCTAAGACCATGCAAAATAATAGAAAAAAAACACATGTGCAACAGAAATCAGAATTTTGAAATTCTCAAGTTTAAAACTTCAAGGTATGAACCCTAGCATAAACAAAGAAATTGGTTTGCAACATACAATTAAATGGAGTATCACTATCACTATGACACAGGAATGTCATTCATTTCCGTGATGTTATGCAATTGCTTATATCATAACAAAAGCACTACTGGAGAAGTAACACGTTCTGCTTTATTTGAAAGCTAAAGTTATCAAAGTTGTCATTGCTGAGTTTTGTTGTGCTTGGTTTGTCTCATCACCTCTGCTCCTGGTTTGACCCAAATTTTAATACCAACTCTGCCTGTGATAACTGATGTTTTCAAAACCACTTGTGTTCTGGAGAATTCCTATATACAATGCTGGAACAGAAGAAAGGTGGCCATGGTATCTAGTTGACTGTACTACCCACATCTTTGATCTCTAAGGGAATTTTTTAGGGAACGAGAATGTAACTTTATTCTTAGAAAAAAAGCAATAATACTCTTATCAGTCTCTCTCAAAAAGAGAGAGAAGGAGGGGTACAAAACAGTTTATTAATTTATTTGAATCAGTATGTCCCACAGAAATCAGCTAACTCCCTAGACCCAATAAAGTTATGGAAGTGAAATACACATCAAGCTGATTACAAGATAAAAGGAATTTACAAACTCTCTTTCAAGTTCCATTATTTAAATCAGCCATGAAACAAGCAGTTTATCAAACTCTCTAGTTACTATTTTTGATCCTTAAAGAAAAAAAAAAAATCAACGATACAACCTATCAAAAATGCTGGTACATAAGCAAAAGTTACCTTTCACTATCCAATTCCCCAACATACAATATAAAAAGTTCTTTCTAATGTCTATGTTTCCTTTTGGAAATCACTTAATGTTGCTGTGGATGAATGCTAATTGAAAAGCATAAGTGAAACATTTAAAAAGTGCCAGAAGCCACCATAGCCACATCACTTACCTGTACAGTCCTGAGCAACATAGACAGTTATTCCTTGTAACTCAGGGTCTCCTGCTTCTTCAACAGCTTTTCTAAGTACAAAAAAAAGAATATTTGATAGAGTATTGATTGTGGAGATATTATGCATAAATTGAATTCAAGCCCTTCATTTTTAGAGTGAATACTATTTTGGTTTAAAAGCAAAACATTTAAAAAAATCAGTTTTCTATCATCCCTTTTTCTTCCCTCATTCTCTTACTAAGTTTTTTTATTTTAGTGTTTCCCATGCCGATTTTGTCCCAGTCCCTTGCATGGTGTGTAATAAGAGCCTCCCTAAGTAGTGAGGAAAGTGGAGGCTGTTCAGAAAACTACAATAAGAATGCTATAAATGCAAATTAAATAAACCAAAGTGAACACTGCTGCATCAACTAACTTCTTTAAGGTTTAATAATTGTTCAGTCTTTCAACTATGACAAAACTAGCCTTCAAAGAAAATCACTCAGAGCAAACTGATTTAAGCTCACAAAACGACCCCAAAATTAGATTCAGCTACCTATTAAAACAAAACTCACCATTTGATCAGCTTCAAGGTTTCACTGAAATTTTTAAAAAATAATTACACAACTAAACTAGCCTCAAAAGAATAAGAGTAATGGATCTAAAAACTAAAAAGAGAATATATGTCGATAGTCTGAAGCATGATCATCAATCATGGACAAAATTTGTAAAGAAATTAAACCATTCAAAATAGAAGGTTAGCCTCTGACTTCTGATACGTGGTTGCATTAAATGGTCACTATCCTTTTATTTCACAATATATTTTGAGGAATCATTTAATATAGTCATTCTCAAGTTATGGGAGAGCTATACATTCTCAGCACTGAAATAATAAGGATAGGGAGCTCTAGAAAAAGAAAGCTTTACCTTGCTTAAATCTCATTTGGATTCGATGGAAAGGGAAGTCTGAATGGAGCATGCGAGTCCTGAAGCCAATTATATTTTTGCAAAATAGAGTGTATTTTTTTTTAATTTCACAAAAAAATATTCCTCACAATGTCAGTTATCTAGCACGTGAGGAAAGCATGACAAACAAACGCATAAATAACCTTCACCTGTCAGAGTACACACAGTAGTATTTCAATGTAGGCTCATTAAAGATGAGTATACTTGTATATCAAAGTATCAAATTATTCTAGCATCTATATAAATGTAGAACATTTATACCTGAACTCTGACTTTGGCTGCTTAGGTGACTTATTAATTATTCAGTTTATAGCTAAACTGGGACCCACCTAGAACATAAGACTATAAAAAACAAAATCAGTAGCATTCAAAGAAATGGCATTTAAAGGCATACGGTATAGAGAAACCTGACTTTCGAATTTTTTTTTTTTTTTTACCCATACTGAATGTCACAGACCCTTTACTTTTACTATGATATAATTATAATATTAATAGTCCCATACATTTACAGTTTCACAAGAATTTGATGTGTGCAAAGAAATGCTGAAAACATCAATTTTAGCTCTGACATTTCATTACACTATCAGTACATTACAGCCCCCAGGTTACAGTATAAAAAAAATCTATAATGTTATGCATGTTCCAAGGTTGAAAGAGTGGTTAGTTTTTAGAACATTTCATTAAAGGCAGGCCTACTTAAAGCCCAGGTTTCGAGGAGACCTTGGGACTCCTGCTGCCCAGAGTAGAGGAAAATAGGAAAGTCATTTATTTCTGAAACAAGGTTTGGGCACAGGCTCATACTTCAGTTCCTGAAATGACTGCTATTTCCGTTCCTATCTCTGAAAAACGCTCCTAAATTGTTGGTGACAGACATGTTACTGAGTCAATAATTAATGGTTAGGCGTCCAATTAATATGAAGAAATCTCCAGGCATTTCTAAATGTTTCTCCTGTAACACTTAAGACAGTGGAAACAATAAAGAATAATTTAAAGAGATATTCTTACCTTAAAATGTGTGCTACAACAGCAGGCCCATACCAGTCTCCAGCTATTTTTCCTGACTTCTTTCCATATTCTATCAGCTGATGCAAGCCAAAAGATGCTGGTGGAGAATCTCCAAACCAAGAAATTATTTTTCTATGATAAACTTCATCTCTCATTTCACTTTCATCACGGTTTCTCTTTAGTGATCCCTCATGATGAGTTGACAGGACCTTGGGTTCCTTCTCTCCTGTAAGTGATGCCTCGAATGATGCAGTCAGCTTTTTTACTGTGTGGCTTGTCCATGATTCAGAGTCTATATTTTCTATGTCCAATGCATCTGGCCAGGTCCAGGCTGCAGCAGAATTTTTTTTTTACTTGAATTTTATGCTGCCTCTTAATATTAACTTTTTTTTGTATAAAAATGTTAATTTTTACTAAAAGCAATAATCTGTGCGTTACATATGTAGCTGCAAATGCCACTGATAAGATCAAAGCAAAGAACACATTTTTCTACTGTAATTGAGTTTGCTGTCTTTAACTTTTGCCTATTCCTCAGCATAAATAAAAAAGTCAATTTTTTGTTAGCCATTTGTATTAGCAGGATTTTTTACAAGAGAAGGTATAATAAACTTCACAGTCTTGGCCATTTACATACTATAAATTCAGTGAGTTAACTATTAAATACATGCAGAAAGGACTGACTGATAGTTATCCAAATCAAACTAGCACTTCCTTCTTGTTCATCAGGTCTTAGAAAAGTTTGTGGAAGAATTATGTGAATAGTGACACATTCTTCCTAACAAAAGCAACTGAAATACACTTTAGTCAAAAAGGTCAGCAGAACAGCTCAACTGATCTCACAAATAACTATGAAATCTTAAGATCTATCTAGACTAGAGGACAGACTTGTTTCATGAATCAACATTACAGCAAAACACTTCCCAGTCCACTTTTTGAGTACTATGCTTCCTGTACAGTTCATCTTATAAACCATTTACACACAGATGATGGTTAGCAGGTCAAATTAATAATAAACACTTTCCTTACCAGTGTACTCTTCAGGCTTGTCTGCACTATGCGGCTGCCACAGTTAGCATAACAAACCCCTTTAGTGGAAATATGGTATAAGGTGGCATAAGGCTATTTTTGTGTCACTATAGCCACTCCCCAAAAACAGTAAGTGCCTTCATCTGTTAGCAGAGTTGCATATATATGGTTGGGAGTAGGATTTTAGGATTTTCCAACCTAAACATGCTGTCAGAATTTTGCAGTTCATATTAAACCTCAATCTCCTGACAGTTCCAAACAATTCCTTGAATTAGGGCAATGACAAGGGATTGAGATACTATAACTACACTGGGGAGGCTTACAAGGAATGCACCAACGACAAGCAGAGGCATCTTTGCTCAGTAAGCTGTATTTCTGAAAAAAAAATTCTTTGCAGGGCAAAATCAGGTAACCCCAGAATGGTAACAAAAAGCACACCTGTGAAGAACATACAGGGCAAGAAACTAAACGCTTCAGGTACTTCATGCTGAAACAAACTGAAGTATTTCACAGAGGAAAAAAAGAGGTGGCCATAGTACTTTACTAGCCAAAACCAAAACTTTTAACTATTGCAAGTAGCAGGCAGCATCATAAATGCCCAGGTTTTCCACAATTCTTCTGAATTTGGCACACAATTACGTCTTAATACAGAATTCTCTCTCTGGGCATGTCTACACGTTCATTAATATGCCATAATTACAGCGCATTAAGTTTAGTACTGTAATGACAGGTGCTAACTTAATGCACCGTAATTGGCACTAGAGCATTAGTTTAACAGGTTTGTGGTGACGTTAATGCACAGTAGACTTATTCTACTGTGCATTAGCACAGGTTTTGCCCACTACACTAATGAGCAGTACAATCAGTCTTCTGCACATTAAGCCTCTTGTGTAGACCTGCCTAGTGTGGTGTGAAAAAAAAATTGCATCTACCTCTCCAGCAAAATCATTGCACACAATTTCTGCTGCCAGAACAGGTTACATTTCCATTAGGGAACTATATATGTTGTCATACCTGTAGCAGAAATAGCTCTGCAGTATAGACAGGCTCTTGGTTTATATTGCAAAATTGTCCTGCTAAGAATAAGAGCAATGAGGGCAGGTTAGTGCATGTTCCTTTACCACTTACAAAGCAAAACACACCTACATTTGGCTGCTTGAGGCTACCTGTTGCCACATACAAAAGTGGTATCTAACTGGTATACTTACCTCTACCTAGAAAATGAAGCATAAGCCCTTGAGCCAGCAGCATCTGGCCAGTTCTCAGTGTACAGCCCCAACCACAGTCTGTTGTCAATGCAGATCCCTGTATCTGAGGAAATTCTTCTCTGTAGGTTAGCCATATTCTAGAAATAAAGTCTTTACGAAACTCTTCTACATTTCCTGAACTTGCTTTGTTGAAAGTATCACAACTAGAGCCATCTGGAAAAGCTTCACTGGGTTCTGTAAGATATTTGCACAATATTAACTTTGCAATTAATCAGCACAGGACTTTTCTTTATATATAATGACAGTAAGATTATATTACTATCAAGGAAAAATGGGAAGCCAATGGAAGAATCCATCACCTCCTCAACAGGAAGGAAAACTTGAGAGACATAAGGAGTAAATACAATGAAGGATTCAGTCGGCATCTATCAACTGACAGAAGACCATTCTAAGACCACAGTTGCTTTGTTCCGGCAAATTTAAAAAAAAATCAAAATGAGAAAAGCTTGCTGAAAAAAGGCTTCAATTTAAGGGTAAATTTGCATGGGGGAAATCAATTAGAAAACTGTTAACAAAGGTGCTACTTCACATCGGTATTACCAATATTTCATAAGGAGTTCACAGAATAAATTTCATTCAGGGATATGAAGATAGCTGCAAACAGTACGCATTAACTCCAGAAGTACACCGATACATTGATCTAATATCAGATTGGCACTGATATAAAGAAAATTATCTGTATTGGAAATCGGACTGATATGGCCGATAATTTGGCCAATAAATGGCACGTGCATGAGTGCTGCTGCAGCACAGCATGTAGGCAGTGAGGAGCACTGCCAGGCAGCTTGGAGAGCCACATACAACTGTTAAGTCTGTCGTGGTGGAAGAGGAGGGGGAAGAAAAGGGGCGTGGGGGTGGGGGGAGGAGATCAAGGCCCCCGCAATGAGGAAGGAGTGGGGCTGGGGCAAGCGCTGCCCTGCAGGGCGGGTGCGGGATAGAGCCATGGCTTGTCTGGAAGAGGGGGGGTCCCATGAGTGTCCCATGAGCTCCCAGGACACAGACAAGGGGAGGCTCCCGCTGCTGTGCGCCGCTCGTCTGGGAGTTGCTGATCTGGCAGCTTATCCAGCACTCATCCAGGAGGGCATGGGGGGGAGCATGTGTCCCTGGATCTGTGGGGTGGGGCTGGGCTCAGGACATGAGATGGCAGCACTGGGACACAGGGGATGGGAGGGGGCTGCAATGAATTTTGGGGTGGCTGCAGCCCCCCCCACCCCCCAACACCACTGCCCGCCCAGAGCCCAACCCTATCCCGCCAGGAAGAGCTTGGTGCAGCCCTGGCCGCAGCCCGCCCCGCACATATCCAGAGGCACACATCCTCCCATGACCTCCTGGATGAGCACCGGATGAACTGTTGGACCAGCGGCTCCCAGATGAGTGGCATGCAGTGGCGGGAGCTGCCCCTCTCCTCCCCCCTCCCTGCCCCCCCCAGACAAGCCACAGCTCCGTCCCACAACCATCTGGGCAGCCCCTGCCCCACTCTTCTCTCACCACAGGGGCCTTGATCTGGCCCCACACACACCCCAATCCCCTTCCACCACACCAGACTTACCAGCTGCACACAGCTCTTCAAGCTGTCAGGCTGGTATTGGAAATCGGATCGGTATCAGCCAATATGCCTTCTTAAAAATCAGCTATCGGTATCGGCCCCAAAAGTCTCTATCGGTGCACCCCTAATTAACACCCAATTTTACTGGCAAGAGAATTATCTGCAGAAATGATAGAACTGAAGGCTGAACTGGCAATAGGTGTTTTATCTGGTCTGCACATGCAGCATGGAATGTGGCAAGTTGGAAGGCTGGGAAACCTAACTGAAGAATGTATTCTTATATTAAAATAGTGAATTCTAATAATCTATTAATAAAGATAATGGTAGATAATTACAAATATATTAATATATTAATAGAGTTTGTCAAAATGGGATGGGTGCTAGTTAAATCTTCTGTACTCACCATCAGATTTGAAATGATAACATTTTCCCAGCAAGAACACTGGAGAATTTCTACTAAAATAAGTTTTTGTTTTCAATACCCAACCTAAGAGAGACAAAGAAAACAAGATAATTTGTGATTGAGCTATTTCAAAAGCATTTAATTGTGCTAAAATCACCCAAACTAATAGAAACATTATGGTATGTTATGGATAACATTATGGTATTTGATTTTTTCTTTAAAATAATGAAAACAGGTTCCATTTTTTTTAAGGAAGTTGGAATGGATTTGTATGCAAATAATTCAAGATAACAATATCACCTCCAGATTAAAGGTGCAAGATATTATTGCAATTTTAATATTGTACAGGTAAGCACTAAAAAGGCAGGAAATTCAGAAGACCAAACTTCTGTTAACTCTACCTTTTTGCATGAACTGAGCATGACATGGCCTCTACCAAGAAAATGATTATGATCATGATTTTCCAGGTACTCTGTTAAAACACAAAGACAGACTTCCAACAGCAGTCCTAATAAAGCCATACTGCACATCCAGCAGGTCTTATTGTATGCTCCAAGTTACAAGATTAAATTGCATGCTCTTTTAAAAAAGGAATAGAAAAATACTGCCTATGTGCAAAGTCACCAAGTTAATTTGCCGTTAGAACTCTAACATCTATTTACTACACTGAGAAACATAATGAAAAAGAAATACATAACTTCAGGGGGATCAAATTAAAGTTGTGGGACTTGTCTTAATGTTAACACTTCCTAACTTGAATATTTAATATTAATTAAAACTAGAGGTGCACCAATATATCGGTGCCATATCGGACTGGCACCAATAAAAGGAAAATTAACATTATCGGCTTTTTTTGGCCAGTGTAGCTGATAATGTATCAATAAATATAATATGCCTTCTGGGCGGGGTCCCTAGACACCGCATGCATGCGTGCAGCCACCGTTGCTCCTTGACATCATTGCTTCTTGTTCTGTCATCTGCCATCACTGAGAACAGTCCAGCTCCATCCTTTTTGTAACCCCCCTTCTGGTAGTTGAGGGCTGCTATTAAATCCCCGCTCGGTCTTCTCTTCTGCACACTAAATAAGCCCAGTTTCCCCAGCCTCTCCTCACATGTCACGTGCCCCAACTCCCCTCACCATTTTTGTTGCCCTCTGCTGGACTCTCTCCAATTTGTCTCCATCCTTTCTGTAGTGGGGGCCCAAAACTGAACATAGTACTCCAGATGTGGCCTCACCAATGCTGAATAGAAAGGAATAATCACTTCCTTTGACCTACTAGCAACATACCTACCAATGAAGCCCCGTATGCCATTATCCCCGATTCAGGCTGAATCCGAATCCAGTTAAATACGGCCCGTTTCATGCACCCCTACGGTGCTGCCCAGTGCAGCAGTCTGGGAGCTGACCTTGCCTGTGAAGACTGAGGCAAAGAAGGCACTGAGCACTTCACCCTTTTTTGCATCACAAAGTTGCCTCCCCCCATTCAGTGAGGGACCCACACTTCCCCTAATCCTCCTCTTGCTATCGACATAGCTGTAGAAATGCTTCTTGTTACCCTTCACATCCCTTGCCAGCTACAACTCCAATTGCCCTTTGGCCTTCCTGACCTCATCCCTGCATGCCTGAGCAATGCTCTTATACTCCTCCCTAGTTATTAGTCCAAGTTTCAACTTCTTATAAGCTGCCCTTTTGTGACTTAGTTTACTGAAGAGTTCCCTGCTAAGCCAAGCTGGTCTTCTGCCATACTTGCTGGTCTTCCATTGCATCGGGATGGTTTGTTCCTGCACTCTCAGTAAGGCCTCTTTAAAGTACAGCTGGCTCTCCTGGACTCTTCTCTTGCTCAGACTGGCTTCCCAGGGGATCCTGTCCATGAGTTCCCTGAGCAAGTTGAAGTCTGCTTTTCTGAAGTCCAGGGTCCTTACTCTGCTGCTCGCCATCCTTCCTTTCCTCAGGATCCTGAACTCTATCATCTCGTGGTCACTGCTGCCCATTTTGTGGTCACTGCTGCCCAAGTTCCAATTCTTCCTGCTCGTTTCCCAGGCTTTGTGCATTCGTGTGTAGGCACTGAGGTAACCAGTTGATTGCTCTGGTTTCTCAGGAAGTATGAGAGCACCTCCTTTGCTGCCCCCTCCTGCTTGCTCTTCTGCCAGGTCTCCTGGTGCACCCCTAATTAAAACACTGCATTAACCATTTCTCACATTTAGGCCCAAATTCTTCTTAAGTGGAAGCTGTTTGACTAATAAGAATCACAGGTTATGACCACTAAATTTCCTAGTTTCTTTGTTTATTTTAAAGGAAAAAAACATCTTTCCCACCCATGTCTTGGAGCATCTCTACAAGCCTGATATGAGTAATTAAACAAACATTATTCAGAAGCCCACTGTTATATTTGAGCTGCCTCCAGCCTGAAGGAAAAGAGGGTGAAGTCTCATTAGGGTTTGGGAGTTCACCATTAAAAAGCTAACTGTTGTCTTTTGATCATATTTTTAGTTATGCACAGTTTCAGAAAAGTACACTACCAATGTGAACATAACTTAGCTCTTAACTGGAGCCTGAATTTTACCCAAGGTCCTAATTTTGTTTAAAAAAACATGACCAAAATTGCTCTTGTTGATATTCTGTAATATCTCTGTTTAAGGCCATACACAAGTCATGTCACCTGTGTTTATTCCCACAGGCTCTTCTTCTGATACAGCAACTGTCTGAACTCTGAAAAAAGGAGATCCTCAAATTTCACTGGAGAGACAATCTAAACAAGATCGTTTACTCAGATGTTAAGCTTATGACTGACATTGATTTCAAAGACCATGTTACATTTTTAATTAAAATGTTTAAATGAGAATGCTCCCTGAGTGAAATTATGGCCTCAATAATGTCATTTGGGACACACCCATTTATTTCACTGATACAAGGATTTCACTCACTGTTTTACTTACTGTATTTCATGTTATGCCATGCAGACATAAACTTTGATTTTAGCTTTTCTACTTCATCTGTTCCTGTGGCTTCCATATTCAAAATTTAGAGAAAAAGCCATCGCTGTCTTGGAAGATACTAAATTCTGTTACTGTAAAAACAAAAATATAAACATATCCGTGGGCACAGAGTACACAGTGTATAATATCGCCAGCATACTTAGGTACTTAAGCCTAACGTGACCAGAAACAGTCATAAACCTTCAGAATCTTCCACTTCCAGGAACTGAAAAACAACCACATGTTCTATGAATAAGTTATAAAAACATTTAATTCCAAATATACACCAATAAAATGACCATGCAAAGCTAAATAAAATATAATGTTCTCCAACAGCTCTCTACTGCACAACAAAGTGATTGTGAGAACATAAACTGCGCTGGCACACGTAAGTTAACTCATATTCCAATCAGTAGTTAGAGGAGAATGCCTGGAGTCTTAAGAAAAGGAATAATTATTGAATACGGACTGTTTTGTTCACAACTATGATTCTGAACGCATGCAACTAAATCATGCTTTTTAAAAAGCTGTTATGGGTGGGTTTAGATTGAAACGAGACATTCTAAACCAAGGTGGATACAGGGTAAGGAGCACTAAATATAAAATATATTGAAATAGACCAGGGGTAGGCAACCCCTGGCATGGGTGCCAGAGCATGGCACGCGAAGTCATTTTGCTTGGCATGCCCACCTCAGGGTAGACAGCAGGGAACGGCTGGGGCTGTGCAGCCACAACAAGGATCAGGACCCTCATAGGTCCCCCACCATCTGCCCCGGCATGCCAACATCTTACAAGTTGAGGTTATGAGTGTTTTTGGCACTCAAAAATGTGGCCAACCCCTAAAACAGACAATCATTTATCAATCAACAGTATTCTGTTAATATTTTCTTCTGACCTTTGTAATTCTGTATAGCAAGATATACTTATACAGGACTCCCTACTACTGCACACAGCTGCTTTCCTCCACAAGCACTGCACAGCAGCTTCCTCTTTCTTTTCTTTTCATTATGGCATGCATAGCATTAATAAAAGTTTTCTTTCTACTTTCATTTTGTACAAAAGAGAAAGTGTCTCTCACTCTAACACTATAGCTAGACTTCTTGCAAAAAAGCAGCAGCCATTACACTGCAGACTAATTCACTTTTATTTTTAAAGTTACTTGCTAACTCCTCAAGAAATAAAAACAATCAAACAATGCAAAATGTAGCACAGATTTGTTGGCACTTTCACAAACTGTAAGTCACTGTAAAAATAATTCTAGCCCCCTCTATTTCTTTATAGAATATAAAAGCTGCATATTACCTTCACATGATTTTTCTTCTTCTCCTAAGACGTCTAGAACAACTGGAGAGAACTCCCTTGGTAATTCATCAGTGCCACTTAATCAATAAGGAAGTTGCTACTGAGCAATACTGCTGCCCATATTACATATGTTCTGCCAATACAGAGCTTCAGTTTCCATGGCTGTCAAGCTGGCACCTTTCACCAGAAATAAATGTATTTTAAAATGCTTGTTTCAGGAGAATTTCTTTGCCCATGCTAAACAGACCAAAAATTAATAGGTAGCTGAGAGGATGAACAGCTACTGCTGCAAGACCAAACTTTACTGAGCTCAAAAACTGTTAGTCAGCTTTGCAGGTACATCATTGCAACTGTCAGCCTCCTTAAGCCAAGGAAAGCCATTCACTCCATCTCATTTTAATGAACAAAAAAGCTTCCTATTACAATGAATCAGCTTAAGATATGGGCACACAGCAACCTGACACTGGATACACTTTTCTCACTTTAAGAGAAAGTATAAAAACCAAGGGCCACTTTTATCCTTACCAATGAAGGATTAAGATCCATTGGTTCAGGATCTAAAGAGAAATAGGGAAGGGACTACGCTGTGTTATATTTCCCTTCACAACTCTGGGTAAACTTGTTTCAATACATGGCAGTTAACACCAAGAAAAGTCTTAGTAGTACAATTCCAATGGAAGCATGACGTCAAGATATCAGAGCTCCCAAGCCAATTATAGACAAAGGGCAGAGGCACTGTATTTCCTAGGACCTTTAGGATTTGGCATTTGAGGGCATGAATACAAGACGAGGTTTTTTTCCCCCCAACCGATATGGGGAAAAAAAACCCTTATCTTATATTCGCATACAAGGAAACCTCATTAAACACACTGTCTATCATTAAACTGCTGCCAAAAGCACCATGTGCTCAGTAAATGGAAACCAGCTATGAAGCTGATTAAATGCACCTAACACTGAGTATGACTATAAAACATATGGTCCATATTGGGCAACTATACTGATGGGAACCTTTTGTGGGAATGAGCGCTGGGCCTGAAGGTGCTACAATACCAGGCCCTCCCTTGGTGCCAAAAATGCTGATGAGAGCCTTTTTATGTGTGTGTGTGGCCCTTAAAAAATGGGTGTGTGTTCCCTCCACATGGAACTGGCACCAGGCCTGGAGATGCTGCAATTCTAGGCTGGTAGTGGGAGGGCCGGGGCCAGTCCTGACACCCACCTCCTGCCACACCTGATAGTGCAGCCCATCTGAATAAAATATATGGTAGTGCCCATTGCATGCAGGCCCCCTCAGTCTGATTCTTTCAAATCATGGTGAGCCACTACATTGAATACTAGGAGTACACCGATAGAGACTTTTTTGGCTGATACCAAAGGCTGCTTATTAACCAGTCATATCGGTCGATACCTATCTAGTAGCTGATACGCAGCCCGACAGTGTTTCTGGCCATGTGCATGCTGCAACTGCACACATGCAAGTGCCATTTATCAATGACGTTAATCGGCTACACTGGCCCAAAATAGCCGATTATGTCAATGTTCCTTTTATCCAATCTGATATGCCACCGATATATCGGTGCACCTCTATTGAATACACTTCTATTTCCTCTTCTCTCCCGCAACTTGTCTGTGCCCTTCTTTCCCATTTCCAATGATTCATGTTTCTTCATCAGCCTTAAATATCTGGCAAACCAAACGGGAGACCCCAAACAGCTCACCCAGAATCCCTGTTGCCCCCTCCCTCAGCCTGTCGCATTTGATTAGTGTGACCCGCACCCTTCGTGAGGTGAAGCCAGACCAGGCTGCCCTGCACTGTATCTACATATAAATTTTGGAGGATCCCAGGACTTGTGACAGAAACATGCAGTTCCAGTCATGACTAGTGGCTAATTAGCACATAGATCCTTTGTGCAGGATATCTAGAGTACACACACATACTGAACAGAGCTGAGCTGTGGGGTCACCATGGCTTGAAATGCTGTTGACTTTGCTAGGATCCAGCCAAATGAAGTATATGGTAAATCATGAGCCTTTTAGCTTTAGACTAATGTCATGCATAGTTTGTACTATATATAAGTAGGTAAAAAGTGTGCTTATGGAGTACCAGTGCTGAACCTGTAGCACTTTAAAAAAAAAAAAAGGTAAACTACATTAATTCTGGATGAACTAAGCCTATGGGTACCTGTTATAACTTACCTACATGCAAATTATAACAGGTATATTATTTCAAGGTAAATGTTTTCAAATTTGTCTTTCACTTCCATATGCTTAGGGAGAGCAGGGTCTGATAGTAAGGAGGGGAGAAGGAGCTGTAGGAGAAAGAAATCTGGGGGAATGGAGGGCAAAAGTCAAGGGGGCTACCCGACCCACCAGATTTATTTACCCTGCTGTAGCAGAGGGAGGGGGACAAATTCAAGTCAAACCTCCAAAAATTGGAGGTATACCTGAAAAATTGTAACAAAATTTGTAAATTATTAAGGGTGCACCAATAAAGATTTCCTGGGCCAATACTGATGGCTAATTATTGACCAGCGATTATCGGCCAATACCAATCCAATTGCCGATATGCAGCCCAGCAGCTTGGAAAGCAGCATCCAGCTGGTAAGTCTGTTGGGGGGAAAGGGTGTGGGGGAGGGAAGGAGAGTGGGGGGTGGGGCATATCTGGGCCCCCACAGCGAGGGAGGAAGTGGAACTAGGGCTAGGCAGAGTGGGATGGGGTGGGGCACAGGACAGAGTCGTGGGCAGCTCATCCAGGGGGGAGGCAGGGGATGGAAAGAGAGAGGCAGCTCTCGCTGCTGCACACACCCCAAGGGAGGCATGCAGGGTATGTGCTCCCCAGATCTGTGTACAGGGCAAGGGCGTACTGCCTGCTGCGAGCTCGGGGCCAGCCTCTTCCTGGTGGGAGGACTGGACTGGAACTGTGCTTCAGGTGGGCAGGGGTGGGGCAAGCGGTGGCAGTGTTGGGAGGTGGGGCTAGTCACCCCAAAATTCACCGTAGCCCCCCATATACCACTCCCTCCCAGCACTGCTGCCACTCACCCCAAGCATAGCCCTGGCCCCCCACTCCCTCCCTCACTTTGGTGACTCCCCCTGCCCCTTCCCCCACACCAAACTTGCTGGCCAGTTGCTGTTCTCCAAGCTGCAAAGCTGCATTCCTGGCTGCATGCATGTGGCATTTATTGGTGACATTATCGGCCACATCAGCCAGAAAAAGCTGAACGCCAATAATTTCAATTTTCCTCTTATTGGTGCCGATACAACAGACTGATGTATCAGTGCACCTCTATAAATTTTACATATATAAAATCTAATTATTGGGCAGTTTTCTTATATTCAAGAAAATACAGTAAGAACCATCTCCCAGGCACATAAGCCCTATCTTGTTTTTCCTTCCCTATGAACAGAATGGTCTGCTAGAACCTTGTCAGCCGCAGGAAGAGAGGATTCGGGTATCAGTTTTCGCTTGGTTCAGGCACACAAACCTGGAAGTGGATCATTATCTACTGCATTAACAGAAACACTGTAAATGAAATGTTATAAAGAGGGACAAGCAGCTCAAAGTCTTTCTGTTGATGAACCAGCTGCATTTTTGGGGTGTGGGGGAAGAGGAAAGATTACCAAAATGAGGAAAGAAAAGATAAGACTGCGTGGACAAGTAACAAGAACACCAGTTGTTGTGGTTTTGTTTAACAGAACGGAGAAATATTTGCTTTTTCAGGTGGGGTTTGGTTCAATTACTTTTCTCTTAATCAAAGACAAGGAACATTTGGGCTAATCCTTGGTCTCATCATGCAAACCAATAATGATACAAGCTCTCTTTGACTGGTTCCAGATTCAAAATAAACAGCTGTATTTTGAAGAGAAGCAGAAATCTCACTTTCTTTTCAAAGAGGCCTGCCACCTTTGTGCACAGTTTCCTTTTTATCCCTCTTCACTTCTTCCCCCATTTTGTATACTACTTAAAAGGGTATCAATTGAAAGTAGTCACATTTCTTTCATTTTGGGGAAAAATATTGGGCCCCATTTGTGTCAGTATGAGACGTGACAGCAACTTTACTGATTTCAATGTAATTATTATCAGGGAAAAGACAGTGTGAAAGTCATATCAAGGACATGATGCAACCCCACACTAAAAAATAAGGTTCTATGTTTTTATGCTAATTTTGTGATAATTTGCAAATTATCTGGTAAGAAATATTATTACTCTAATTTGACACTGTAGAATGTCAGAAGATAACTCTACACATATAGGTGTCTGTCTGCCTCTTGTGGTCTCAAACTCCAGTTATTCGGGGGGGGAGGGTCAAAAATGTTTTTCCTATTAGCCAATTTAGCTATAGAAGAGCAAGACACTAACCTACTCTCTGCTTTATGCATTGCTAGAAAGATCACTAGATAAATTCTGAATTCGGGGGGGGGGGGGGTTTATAGGTAAAGGTAGAATCAAAACCTCCAGTTTGTTTCTCAGAAAAGAGAGATTGAACCAAGCAGTGATGACACTTAGGAAAATTCATATAGAAGTCATTGACAGAAAATAAATATAGAATGCCAAGATGTCATTTTTACAGAGTCACTTTTCTAACCATAACCACACATTAAGACAGTCAATAAATTACACTCCGATAAATGTAAAGGGTATTCACAGAGTAGTGTCCTTGAAGGGCAGGTGAAGAGAACTAGCTTTTTTTCTCTAGCAAAGACAGAACATTTTATCTATTTAGGATTTAATACTGAGTAAAATTTTTTGACAGACGGACCTTTAGGAGCTTTTTCTGCCCAGCTTCAAATTATCACTTAGCCCTTCAGTTGAAGGAGAAGTGTCCTGCATTTACAAATTCAACTTGTTAGTCTCTATACATAAAGAAGGGTGATACTACCGATTCTTCTGGGATTTGTTAGCTCTAACATATTTGAAAGCAAGTACTCTATTGTCAAAAGCGTGAAACAGGAGTGTGTCACTGCAGTTTTTTAAGGCTCGTAAGTATTCCATGGTTCTGAGAAACTACTCTCTTTTGCGGTACACAATCAAACAACTGGCTGCAATTTTTATGCAGTTGTTCAGAACACACCATAGCTACATGCCAGTTTATGAACAAAGTTGACAAGTCCTAAAGAACACAGAATGAAGAAGACAGGGTATAGGACTGGTATAAGAAGAAAAAATCAAAGTGCAACATTGACACATCTGCACCTTAAGTGTATTTAACTTAAAAATATCTCCAGAAAGTACTGAAAAGTTCTGCTTTTGCTCATTCACCAGCAGCAAGTGGGAAGCTCTTTCGGGTGAGAACCATGGCCTGACATCCACTTGTGCAGAATTTTAAAACTTGTGTTTGAAGAACAGAGAGTAAGTGTGCAGATCTTATAAACAGCACGTATTGCATTCTGCAGTCAGAGGGACACATCTGGAAAGCCCTGCATTCATATTTTTAGTACTTTTCATCCTCCTAACACAGGCTGCATGCATGTCATCTCTTGCTTATTTAACATACCATAAATCTGTACCTTCCCTTAGCTGTATGGATGCTGTTACAATGCTGCAAAAAGTGCTGGTACCAGTATAATATTTTATATCTTTGGAACTGTTTGTCCCAGGCCTTCTCTCTGTTGGTAGAAAAGTCTCACCGCAAACCAACAACTGGGAGCTATAGTCCTTAAGCATAGATCAGCCTTTACGCTGCAACATAACTATAGACCACGAGCACAACGGGGTTCAGATCTTGATGAGGGACCTGAACCCTCCCAGGAGCCTGTGCAAGTCCATAGAGACTTAACATTATTAAAAAACAGTTCTCCAGACTATCCCCAGCCCCAGGGATGGCAGGGCCATTTTCCTATCTCTGGTCCATTCATGTCTCCAGGCAGTGTCACTGGGTAGC